TCAAGAGATTTAGTTGGAGGTCTGATGTATATATAGGCATTGAGGCAGGATTGTAAAGTTCAAAAGTCTAAGTTCCCAAGCTAGTCAAAACAAGAATAAAACTATTTCCTCATGCTTTAGCTTACTTAATTTTAGTAATTTAGCAGATTGACTACTGTGACTCCATTTTATTTCTTCACTGTGTTCATCAGTACAGAAGCCCTTAGGGGGACTTTAGCCCCAGCCATATGACTGCACTCATAGGAGAGACTCTGAGTGAAAATCACATAGTGAATCTCAGAACCACGAGAGATAACATGATTGTCAGCTGTTACTGCGACTGAAACCACACTTTAACTCAAAGACACCATACTGTCTCCCAGCAATCAGCAGTTGTGGGAAGATTTTCCAGAACTCTTTGTCGGGACCGATGATTGGCTTACACTCATGTCAATTAAGATTTTATGCCCAATGGACCGTTCAGTCACCAGATAGGGTGCGAGCCTATTGGCTGAGACTCCAAACCGCTCGCTCATCTGTAGGGTGGGCAAAATCCAGACTATCCACAAAGACCATAGGGGAGTAAAGGACCACAGGAAGTTGCGTTTAGAACTGCTTCCTCTAGTGGGGTCCAATGAACTCTTTCTTTTGGCAGCGAGTTCAGTCTTGGGGCTCGCCTAAGAGGAAGAACATTTTGATTGGCTGTTTAGTACAGAGACTCACGGGAGCCTCGACTAAGCACTTGCCATTATTGTCCAAGTCGCCCGTCAATCAGCTCGCCTCTGGCTGGGCGGAAACTGGCAGCCTTTTTGGCACCGCCTCTTCCTGGGTCGCTGTGCAGGCAGGCAGCAAGGCTGCAGGAGCTGGGAACCTGCCGCGTGGGCGGGGTGTCGCTGCCAGGCTGGGCCAGTTCCTCCGCGGTGAAGCGCGGGGAGTGCCCCAAGCGCCGGGCCCTGCGGGGCGGGCCGTGCGAGGGACGAACTCGGGGGCGGGGCCGGGGCGGGGCTGCAGGAGGCGGAAGCGGCGAGTGAGCTCGAGCCGGAGCCGTATCGAAGCCAGAGTCCAGGCCGGCGGAGCGGCGTCGGCGGGGTTGGCCGGGGCGGGGGGGCGCCA